AGACATGGGGTTAGAGGGTCCCTTCCCCCCCGGAAAACTTGCCTTCACTTTTACAAGTACCTGTGAGACTTGGGTCCACTAAGATTCTAAATTATTTCAAAAGTTACAAATTGTGCTGCGCTAAGTACGGCCAGGGGTGAACCTGGGGGGGGGGGGGGGGGGGGGGAGGCTCAGGAGACAGGTCATCATTAGTCTGCCTGGCCCTCAAGCAGGTCCCCCAAAATGGCAGATAATGAGCCCAGCTGGCAAGTCCGCAAGAAAAGCATCCATTTCTGCTCTCGGATGGAGAGACAGCGCCACAGCCTACAAACCGAGTCTTTATTTTATAGCCAGATCCCACGAGGCAAAGTCAGGGCGAGATCAAGATCTTTACAATGTTCTTGCGGGTTTTGAATCTACTCAATTACATGCACCTGATCAAGCTTTGTTTACTTGCTGCACCTCCCGCAGCCTATATCACTCAGCCACGTGGGACCACAGGTTCAGACCATAAGGTCAAGCTTACAACCACAGCCTTTGGCTATAATTGTGCTGGGAGGGCTTTGCCTTCCAAGCTGGGACTTGCACGTGGCTTTGCCACAAGAGGACCGTGCCCTCTCATTAGTCCGAGATTTGAACCAGTCCAAACACTGTAGCCACTCTCCATAACAAATAATGTAAATTCAGGCCCCAAACTTGCAAAAGGACCAGGCTGTTTTCACAAATCTTCACAGACTTTTACATCCACTTGGATTCCAGGCTGAGCGGACAAGTCTGGTTGCTGTCTGACTTATGAGGTTTTATTTCCACTGTGTAGCTCTTCTCAGGCCCTACCTTTATGCGGGGTGATCAGTGATCCAACACCCTTCCCTTCACAGATCCCTGGCTTTGACCCTGGCTTCCCCCTCCCACCCTACCTCAGCCCTGAGATCAAATCTCCACCCCCCTCCCCCAAGCAACTGATGATGTCACTGCTTGCTTCTATGGAATCTTCTGCCTATTGCCTGGAATCAGGGTTTCCTTTACTTTCTGACAAATCCATCCATTCATTTTTTAAATATATTTTTAATATATTTTTATTGATTTCAGAGAGGAAGGGAGAGGGAGAGATAGAAACATCAATGATGAGAGAGAATCGTAGATTGGCTGCCTCCTCCACGCCCCCCACTGGGGATTGAGCCCTCAACCTGGACTGTGCTCTGACCAGGAATTGAACTCTGACCTCCTGATTCATAGGTCGACACTCAAAACCACTGAGTGTCCACCAGCTGGGCTCATTGGTTCATTTTTAAGGTTGTGGTTTTGATTTTACGTGTTAGCGAGTCCTCTGGGCGTTTGTGGGAGTCTTTCAGGATGTCCTGTCTGACAGATTGCCTGAAGTGAAACACCCTGAACCTCAGAGAGGGAAGCCCAAGGGGGAAGGCTTTCTCGGAATTTGGCCACAAACAGCCCTGCAGCTCCCAGGTGCGCAGGCCACACCGGCAGGTCCACGAGGCACCACAGCGACTCCAAAGGGGCGGACTGGCAGCGCCCAGGAGGAATGCACGTGTTTGCCAACACGCACGAGACGCCTCCGGGCTCCCCAGCAGGGGTTGGTAGGGGAGTTTACAAAACACTGAGGCTCCTGTGTCACCAGCTGGAGCAGGACCAGTGACATGACAGTGTTTCCCGTTACAGCAATGACTACCATTCATGTCCACAGTCTGGGGTCGCCTGGGGAGTCTCAGATAACACTGATCCTTCAAAAATCCCATAGGCAGCTACAAAACCAAAATACTGTAATTCTTTGCAGACAGGGACAATGGCTTTTTAAAGCCAGGTTGCAGGTAGGCCCTGAGTACTACAATTGTATTGACTGCATGAATTATTCATGGTTATGTTGAGGCTATTACAGATTAACCCTTTGGCTTAAAAAAGAGAGACTGCAGCTTTAAAAAATCATTTATTTCCTCCAGCAAAATAATCGAGGCTCAAGAAAATGTTCTCCCCATAAGTGGATCATTCATGAGCTCTGATTTTTTTCTCCTGTGGTAATGAAATTATGGCCAAGTCCTTCACTTTATCCTTGAGCTTCCTCTAATAAAAAATGACAGGGGAAACATTAACCAACAGAACAAGGATTCAGTGAAGCCGATGAGGAATTAATAATGTGTTTTGATAAGGCCAAGTACTAACTGAACATGTAGAAGCTATTAAAACATTAGGATCCGACCTCTCTGGAAAAGCTAAATTAAACACCAAGGATTAAGGACCATTTGCGGTGGAATTATGAAATGTCTCTCCACTTTAATGATGTTCGCTCCTCGGTGGAATTTCATGCAGCAAACTGTTTCCTGTTGAAGTCCTCATCATTTTCGGTTTCTGTTTAGATAAAAATGAATGCCCAATATCAAATTCTTACAGTTTTTAAAGTCTACCTTGTTATTTAAATGCAATTTTAACCCAGGACAGACATACATTAATGATTTAAAAGGACGGTTGGCAGCCAAATTAAGCCCTGAAGGAATTAACTAAATAAATAAATAAATAAAAATTAAAGGCATTTAGGGAGAGACAAAAGTCTTTACCAATCTTAAGTCACCAAGTAAGACAGTGGTTCTCAACCTTGGCTGCACATTAGAATCACCTGGGAATCTTTTTAAAATCCTGATTTCTGGGCCTCATCCTCCGGAAATTCCGTTTCTCTGTTATGGGGTGGGGCCACAACATTAGTAACATCTTTGTTACTAATGTTGTGGCCCCACCCCATAACAGAGAAACGGAATTTCCGGAGGATGAGGCCCAGAAATCAGGATTTTAAAAAGATTCCCAGGTGATTCTAATGTGCAGCCAAGGTTGAGAACCACTGAAATAAGAGAATAGTATGTTGAAGTTAAATGTACCACCGTGCTAGAAATTTCTCTAGAACTGACATTGAACCTCAGAGGTAAAACTCAACAGTGTGGCAATAAGCACACAGGTGTGGAATGTCATTTCTTCTCCCCCCTGATCTTGACCTGTGCAGTCTTCCAGGTCCTCCTCCTGCCTCCGGCGTAGACTCTCGGAGAGGCGTGAACAGGCCTTGTTCTGAACCATAGCTCCGTTACGGACTCTTCGATTGCCTGGCACAGATCAATCCGTCTGCGTTTTGGTTTCCTAATCCGTGGAGTTGGGGGACCTAAAGATTCTCTCCCTAACCGAACTCTAGCCAGGCTCCTCCGAGCCCCCTTCTCCCCTAGGTCTCAGTCTCGGCCCATTAGAAACTACAGATTCTCAGCACAAATGATTTTGTCCGCTCCCTACCCCCTACATGTAAAAGATTTACATCCTGACGTAGTTTCTAACAGCTCAGGATGTTAGGATGGTCCTCACAACAGCCCCCCTCCCCTCCTCCAAGTACCTGCCTGGGAAAGTTCAAGGCTCTCAAAAGAATTGACTGTTCATTCTACCCAACACCTGACATAGGCCCCTGAGACCCTTTCTTGGAGCTTTTAATAGAAGGAGCTTACAGTTGTGAATTCTTCCTCCATCCCTTTGAGATGGGTATGGATCTCCCACACCCAGCAGTGTCTTCCTTGAGGGCCTGAAAGCCATTCCTTTGAATGCCAAGCTCTGGAGAACTCTCAAGCACGGCCACGCCCACGCCCACTTATACCCTGTCCCAGGGGCTTTTCTTCCAATGACATATGGACACTCCCCCTTCGGGTGGTGGGATCGATGATCCCCTTGAACCTGAGCAGAGCTCTGTAACTGCCTCGGTAAGAACACGGGAGGCAGTGACACCGCTGGACGTCTGAAGCTTGGTCATATGGAGTACAACCGCCCTGCTGTGGGGAAGCCCAGGCCACATGGAGGTGCCCCAGCTAGGCTCTCGGCACAGGATCAACCATCACCTGAGTGAAGAAACCATCAAATGAGCCCAACCCCGCGCCTGGGAGTCTTTCAGTTGAGGTGCTACGTATTGAGGAACAGACATAAGCCATTCCTGCTGTGCCAGGTCCACTCGCCCCCCCTCCTCCCCCCACCAACAGAATCTATGAGCATGATACATGGATGGTTTATGCCACTGACATTTGGGGGTAATTTGTTATGTAGCCATAGTAACTGGAACATCATTGTTCAGAGCTACACTTGCAGTGCAGCAGCTTTCCCACGTTCCCAGTCTTATTGTAACATCATCAGTACCTAAGCCCAGGCAGTATAAATTTCCATATCAAAATTAGTTTCTCCGGGCATTTTAAAAAATTTTTGACCTGCCTGGCTGGCGTGGCTCAGTGGTTGAGTGTCGACCTATGAACCAGGAGGTCATGGTTTGCTTCCTGGTCAGGGCACATGCCCTGGTTGTGGGCTTGATCCCCAGCGTGGGACATGCAGGAGGCAGCCGATCAATGATTCTCTCTCATCATGGATGTTTCTCTCTCTCTCCCTTCCTCTCTGAAATCAATCCCTTCCTCTCTGAAATCAGTAAAAAATATATTTTAAAAAAATCTTGACCATCTTTATCCCCTCCCCCTTTTTAAAGTATATCACGTTGTCTTGTTTTGGTCTGCATTAAATAAAAACCCAAGCCTTTGCTAACAGGAAAAGCTGGGATCAGTCTTCACAGACGGGAAGGAGGGAGGGTGAAGCAAGGACGCCAGGGCGGAGGCTGAGAAGACAGGCCCGCGGCCTGTGTGTGATGCACAGCAAGTCTCTCCTGCAGGTCACGGGACTCGAGGGTCCTGGCAGAGCTGGGGCGGCTGCATTCAGAACACTTATTTGCCTGGAGCACAGTCTGTTCTTAAACACCGACCACCTCCAGGCCAAGTTCTGTTCAGACTCCGAAAGCAGTACCATTTCCCCAGGAGCCATCAGCATCAGTCACAGGGGCTGAGGAGTGCTCAGGGTGGCGTAATCTGAACAATAAAGATTTAATTAAAAATAAATAAATAAATAAATAAATAAATAAATAAATAAAAACCCCAAGCCTTTGCTAACAGGAAAAGCTGTGATCAGTCTTCACAGGCGGAAAGGAGGGAGGGTGAAGCAAGGACGCCGGGGCGGAGGCTGAGAAGACAGGCCCGCGGCCTGTGTGTGATGCACAGCAAGTCTCTCCTGCAGGTCACGGGACTCGAGGGTCCTGGCAGAGCTGGGGCGGCTGCATTCAGAACACTTATTTGCCTGGAGCACAGTCTGTTCTTAAACACCGACCACCTCCAGGCCAAGTTCTGTTCAGACTCCGAAAGCAGTACCATTTCCCCAGGAGCCATCAGCATCAGTCACAGGGGCTGAGGAGTGCTCAGGGTGGCGGGGGTGGGACAGGGAGTGACATTCAGGCCCCGCCGGCCAGTCAGCATCCCACCATCAATTACGTCCCTGCCTGGCTGGCTTCTAATGAGCCCGCCACCGTGAGTGAGGTCTCTCTTTCTGTTTTACGGCCCCTCTGAAACTCATCGAGGGCTGTCCTTTGTCTCTCTCTCCCCATATATCTGGAGTGATGGGCTTTATGGCCACTTCTTCAGGGGAGAGAGAATTATAGAGCTCCGGATTTATGTCTGTTTGCCGGGCCCCCTCCGGTCCACGCACTGCAAGGTGAAAGCTGGGGCAGTGCAAACGATGTCGCCCTCTCATAGATCTGGCCCAGTTGCTGACAGCTTATTTTGACAAAGGCGTAAAATTCAATGACTCTGGCTCAGCCGAGAAGCTGGAGGAAATTCAGAGGGGAAAAAGAGGATGTTTAAACGTGAGCCATCTCCAAACTGCTCTCTGAATCAGGTAAATTGTGAAAAATAGGCTAAGTAAGCTGAGCCAACAAATTTAATGGCAACAATAGCTGCTGTAGAAGGGACATGATTTATCCCTGAGGCCACTGTACACAAATACCTTTCCCTGATATGGAGGGATTATCACCGGCTACTTGAACAGATACCAAGCCGTCAGGGAAGAAGTGGGTTGTGGGAGCCTCCAATGAGCCTTGTCTACCTGCCCTCACACCTCTGTGTATTTCCACGCTGAATGGGCATCTGTGGCTATTGCAGAAGTGACAGTGGGTGGCTTTGATGGCTAGGTCATAAAAGATATCCCTCACTCGGCTTCATTCTCAAGCTCACTTGTTTTGGTGGCCAGGGGGTGGGGTAGGGGTGCCAGCAGCCATCTCCTGAGAACCTTCCAGCAGCCCAGGATGAGGTCCCTGCTGGATAGTCACGCGGGCCAGCTGCCTTTACCAGCTGAGCCGCCCTCAGCAGCCTCAGATGCTGGCAGTCCCGGCCAGGAGCCCAGCCAAGCGGCTCCTGCACTCCCTCGCCATGCAAGTGGCAAGTGATCATGAGTGTTTGCACTTTGAGTCACTAGATTTTGAGGCAATTTGTCCTGTAGCAAGAGATAACTAATGGGGGCATGTAATGAAGATTACCTTCAGCCAAGTGGGGCAGAAACACAAAACGAAGAAGACGGATGTTTATTTCTCGCCCAGGTAAGAACCCGAAAGCCACAGTTTCGGCTAGCACGGCGCTCCTGGGTGTCAGGGACTCAAGGCCCTTCTCTTGTTTCCTTCCGCTGTCCTCAGTACATGGGTCTCTTCTCATGGTCCAATATGGCTGCTCCGACGCCAGCCATCACATCCCTATTCCAGCCAGCCAACAGGACGGAGGAAGAGCAAGGAGGACATGCCATCTCCCTTAAGGACACTTCTGTTTACAGGCCACAGGCAAGAACGCAGGGGTATGGCCATGCCGAGCTATCAGGGGAGGCTGGGAAAGGAAGTCTTCATTCTGGGCAGCCGTATGTCCAGCTGTAAGTCAGAAATTTAAGGAAAAGGAGAAATAATTATTGGGGCAAACTAGCAGTTTGGAGATTGACATTAATCAGGATTTGCTGCAAGGTGCTAGCTGAGCTGAATAGGAATGAGACAGGCAAGGGGGAGGGGACTGTGTGCCTTTGGGATGACTGGGCCACAGAGCCCTTCCCAGGGCCTGTCCTCCTTCACTGCCCTGGGCAACTGAAGGGCATATTTCTGAAGTCTGTCCTCGGAGTAGCAAAACCACATGTTCTGCAGCGAGCTATCGATAGCTTACTTGAAAATACAGAGCACAATCTTCTGGGTCCATGGATAACATAGTGAAATGGAGGAAGAGCAAGGAGGACATGCCATCTCCCTTAAGGACACTTCTGTTTACAGGCCACAGGCAAGAACGCAGGGGTATGGCCATGCCGAGCTATCAGGGGAGGCTGGGAAAGGAAGTCTTTATTTTGGGCAGCCGTATGTCCAGCTGAAAGCCAGAAATAATTATTGGGGCAAACTAGCAGTTTGGAGATGGACATTAATCAGGATTTGCGGCAAGGAGCTAGCTGAGATGAATAGGAATGAGATAGGCAAGGGGGGAGGGGGGACTGTGTGCCTTTGGGATGACTGGGCCACAGAGCCCTTCCCAGGGCCTGTCCTCCTTCACTGCCCTGGGCAACTGAAGGGCATATTTCTGAAGTCTGTCCTCGGAGTAGCAAAACCACACGTTCTGCAGCGAGCTATCGATAGCTTACTTGAAAATACAGAGCACAATCTTCTGGGTCCATGGATAACATAGTGAAATTACTATGATATCCTGGGGTCCAAAAGATCCAATTGTGTAAGATGTGGGGTGATTGTGCAGTTACAGAAATACACTGGGGGAGGGGGTACCGGGGAAGTCCCAAGCTGGGAGTTTCAACACAGGTTCAAATGTCACCTGGCTCAGCTGCACTGTGGCGCCACCTAGTGGTAGTTGTCTTCCCACCTAGCGATGTAGCTGGGTTCCTGGGACCAGGTAAGGGGATTGATTCCAGGGCTGTCTCCAGGTTAGCAGGTGCCCATTTAATCAGCCTGTTCTGGGGAGAGTGGACCAGAAAGATACTGGACTGGGGGTACCCATACTCTATCTGTTGGTTTGGTGAAAGGGTTGCCTGCTACTTCTCTGCCTGGTCTTGTCCTACCTGCCAAGGAGGATAGCCAATCACATTTTGTCCCAATTCACATTATTGAAGGCATTAGCGCACGCGCTCTCTCTCTCTCTCTCTATCTCTCTCTCTCTCATTTATATTTATTAAAGCAGTATATTAAATGAGTTAAACTTGATACATCATAAGCAGAAACCATTTCCCATTACCCTGAAACCCTCTCTCTGGGCTATTTCTTTCCCTGGCCTAGATGGAGCCTCTAGTCTAGCATGTTCCAGGGCTTTTCTGGTCACTCTCAGATAGTGAAAAGTTGTCTGGTTACACTCACCACCAGTATAGCCACATATCTGCACTTAAACAGTGCAGTGATAAAAATCCACTTTAACCAAAACTATAGCCTTTCCACCCCCCGCCCCCTGCAGCTTGCAGTGAGATGGAGGGTGTGGTCAGCCTCTTCCCTGCCCTCCCCTCTCCCGCTAGCTGCTGTTTCTGAGCCCGCCTGGGGCGGGGGCGGGGGCGGGGGACAGATGAGGTGGGGGAGATACCCACCTTCACTTGGTGCCGTGGTGATGCGCTGCTGTGCTCTCTGGCTCCATCGCACTCAAGGCTGATTCTTCCACTCAGTGGGTACTTTTTGGGATCATCTTGGAGATTCTGCTGCTGGTCTTCTCCAAGGGCCACTTACACGAGGCAGGTGATAGATGCCTGTCCTCCAGTTATAAGATGAACACAGCTGGGTTCTTGGTGGGGGCTGTCTGTGTGATGCATCATGGAGCTTCTCTAGGCAGCTCTCTTGGGCACATTCTGTGTGGAGAGAGCTGCAGGTCCACTCTCCAAGGCCCAGCTGGCCCACAGAGGAAAAAGCCACGTGTTTGGAGACGTGGTCTGCTTCCCCAGCAGCCCTCCCCCCTCCCTCTGTCTCTTTTCCCGCCCAGCCACCTGGAAGCTCGCTAGCCATAGCCTCTCGTCACTTGGCTCTGCTTCCCAGACTCCAGAGACCAAAAGTCCCCTGAGCAGTCCCCTGGCAAACGCTTTCTCCTCTGAGGGAGGAAACACGCCCCAGTGCTTCAACGACTCTCTTCAGAAAAGCTTTTCTCTAACTTGCACCTTCAAGCCTTTTATATGTTTAAGACAGGGATTGGCTCAAGGCACAAGAATCAGATTTCCGATTTCCCTTTTGTCAGTCCCCCACAATCTGTGATCCTGTGCCCGTCTTAGGAATGTGGGGTACATGGCATCTTTTCAGAACAGATACATTGAATAATTTCAGGGGTTATCACTCATGTAAACTTATATGACATACAAGGAGGATATAAAACACAGTGTGAAGGTGGCCCTGGAGGTGGGAAGCTGCTGGCCTGATGTATCATCCTCGGCTGTTGGAGCGTTAGGTGAATCCTGTTATATGTAACTAGAGGCCCGGTGCACGAAATTCGTGTGGGGGGGGGGAGAGTTATCCCTAAGCCTGGCCTGCACCCTCTCCAATCCAGGACCACTCGGGGAATGTCCGACTGCCTCTCGAAATCTGGGACTGCTGGCTCCTAACCACTCACCTATCAGCCTGCCTGATTGCCCCTAACCCCTCTGCCTGCCTGCCTGATCACCCCTAACTGCTCCCCTACCGGCCTGATCGCCCCTAACCGCCTCTGCCTCGTCCCGTACCCAGGACCCAGGATTCCCTCCTCCGGCCAGTCGCAGGCACCTGGGACCTGGGCCGGCTTTGCCCAGGCTGGCTGCAGCCACAGGGGACCGTGGGCAGGTGGCTTGTCCCTCTCCTGGGCCACAGGCACAGCCACTGGCACCTGGGACCGCAGGGACCACAGGGCATGCAGCTTGTCCCTCTCCCGGGCAGCAGCCTGGCTGGTCCCCATTCCTCTCTTGTGAGCTCATTTGTGCCTGGCTGGTCCCCATTCCTCTCTTGTGAGCTCATTTGTGCCTGGCTGGTCCCCATTCCTCTCTTGTGAGCTCATTTGTGCCTGGCTGGTCCCCATTCCTCTCTTGTGAGCTCATTTGTGCCTGGCTGGTCCCCATTCCTCTCTTGTGAGCTCATTTGTGCCTGGCTGGTCCCCATTCCTCTCTTGTGAGCTCATTTGTGCCTGGCTGGTCCCCATTCCTCTCTTGTGAGCTCATTTGTGCCTGGCTGGTCCCCATTCCTCTCTTGTGAGCTCATTTGTGCCTGGCTGGTCCCCATTCCTCTCTTGTGAGCTCATTTGTGCCTGGCTGGTCCCCATTCCTCTCTTGTGAGCTCATTTGTGCCTGGCTGGTCCCCATTCCTCTCTTGTGAGCTCATTTGTGCCTGGCTGGTCCCCATTCCTCTCTTGTGAGCTCATTTGTGCCTGGCTGGTCCCCATTCCTCTCTCGTGAGCTCATTTGTGCCTGGCTGGTCCCCATTCCTCTCTCCCCAGTGTTGAGTGTCTGAGCCCTTATGGCCTGACCACATGAGGGCATGATGACCATTTGCATATTACTCTTTATTATATAGATTATATAGATAGTAACAGTAGAGCTGACACTTACCTATTGTTGACATGTGCTATGCACTCTTTTAGGGGCTTTGCCTACTTTATTTCATCCACATAACAATCCTACCAGATCGGTACTACTTCTCAGGACTGTTTTACAGATGAGTCCGCTGAAGCCCAGGCACTAAGGTTACTCAGCCAGCGAATGGCAGAGCTGGAATGCAAACCCAGAAGATGGCTCTATCCGATGCCTGGTGCCCGAGTGTAGCACCCGTCTCCGTGCCTTCTGCAGCAGGCGACCCATCACACGCAGGGACCTGCAGCCTGGCAGATGTGGCTCCCGCCCGCGCTGCCACTCCCTCAGCAGCTGTGCGGCCTTCGCTAAGTGAGGCAACTTTGCTGAATCGCAGTATCCTCATCAAGATACTACCTGGCAGAGTTGTTGGGGCTGGTCAAACATGCATGTATTTCTCCTCTCTTTCTGCAAAGGGAAAGAAGTCAAAACTTCCTGAAATTCAAGATTTCAATCAACTTTATCAGACACCATGGCAAGGAGGCTGGGAGACCCAAGGCGTCCCTTGTTTGAGTCAAACACATGCAGGGAATGCCCGCACTCAGTGGGACTGGTTTTCTGGGCACTGAGTCAGTCCATCGGTACCTTCGGGGGGGGCCATTCACTCCCGCAAAGCGACCCTCTTCTGCCCCGTTGTGCGTGGAAATGCGGCCCTGGGGACACGAGCACGCTCCGAGCACACGGTCATTACCAGCTCTGTCTCATGATGACCGCTCCGGCCGAGGACCCCGGAACCGGTCCGCGCTCGGGCAAGGGGGGAGGGGGGGCAAGGGGGAGGAGTCGGGGCTCCTTTCCTCCGCCGGAACCCTCGTCCGGACCGCCCCAGCGGAAACCTGTGATTTGTTAGTGTTTGTTTAAACGCTAGCACGTCAGCACTAACGTTAGGTAGTATCGAAGCTGGAAGGGAAACGCGTTCATTCTCATACACAGAGTCAGGCGTACATTATTGGGAAATATTCATTCATTTGCAGTGTGACGCCCTCCTGTATTCCAAATAGGACTTTAAGGTCGTTTATCTGGCCTAACAGTTGCTATTTTTACCTCTTCCTTTATCATCATTCCTTTATGCATCCACCGTTTTAAGAAGCTGCACTGAGCCTTCTATACACTTAAACGTGGGAAATTTACAGGCAGAAAGTGCAAGTTAGGCCTATATTTTAATGTTCTTAATCTATTAAGGTGACTTCAAATGCAGTTGTTGTTTTTCAGTTTTCTCCTATAAACACATTAGGAACTCCAGGTTTTTAGTCCTGAGTCAGGATTTCAGGTGGCTGTAGTTACATCTTACAGTAGGAGGCAAGGGGAAGTCTACTCTTGTAGACTATTTTTGCCCCCAGCCCTCTCCTAAAACAAGGGATTAGAGCCAGGCGTGTGGAGCCGTTCCAGGTTGTCATTTTACGGGTTCACTTCTTGGGGAGTCGTGCACACCTTTCAGGGATGCCCGGGTAAAGGACTAGAAGAGTCAGTGATATGAAATAAGGACCTGTAGAGTTAAAGAACATGAAAATTCCCATGTTTTCCATAAGTGTTCAAAATGTTACATGTAAAGAGAAGATGGCTTATAGCAAACATGCAGGGAACATGACCACGTGGAACAAGGAGTCTGGGGTTTGCTGAGAGTCTGTTGCTGCTCACAGTATAGCAGTTTCACGAGCGGCTCCAGCTGGCAGGATGCGGCATAGGGAAGACCATCACTCTCCTTCTTTGTCCAACCTGTTTGCTTTTTAGGAGAGAGAATCAGGTAGACGCTAATGGGGACAAGTCTTAGAAAGGTCTGCTTGGATACACAACTTGAACTCTTGATTAGTTTTTCCATCTGTGCATTTTCCTGGGGAGATTTAGGAGAGCCCTTTTGAACAAGATTTTTATAGTTGCCTAGGTCAGCTATGTTTATAGCAACAAGTTTACAATATAAAATTTCAAGGTTCTATCTATTGTGTTATTTGCTGGTATGGTTCTTCTCAGCTGATGCAAAGAAAAAGCTACCCCTGCAATGGATATAGTCAATTTGTAGATTTGTTTTATGTCTTTTCACAAATAATTGCAAGAACTACAGATTTTCCAGATTGGTTATTAGGAGAGCTTGGGAATATTTGAATATTGTTAATTTCTTTATAGGAATGTGTATTTTTTGTAATTTATAATAATGAAAGCTTCATTTTTATAAATGCAGTCTTAAAAAACACTTCCTATTTGGGAAGGAGGCGTAAGTAATCCAACTCACTACCCTCTGCATTTCATTGAGAAGTAATAAAAATGAGAAAAATCTAATCAGAAGTAATCCAATCTGTTCACTTCGGACTGGCTTTGAAGTAGAATTATTAAATATGTGAACAGTTAACAATGTGGTTCTGCACCTGACGTTTCCAATTACCCACGTTTTCTCCCCGGGCCCTGCCTTTCCAGTTAGGCCGAGCTTTGATTCTGGCCGCCAGTGAGTGTGGGCTCTCTGAGGGTGTTCACATGGTCCTCCAATAGCCAGGGCGCACGATTCCACATGGTCTCCAGATGAAGCGACCAAGATGCTGGTCTAGACCCTCTCTCCACTCTAGCAGCTTTCTCATTAGCCATGGGAACACTGGGGGTTACTGTGTATTCCGTGGCAATTGTGCACCAGATGCCGTACATGTTACCTGTAATCTTCCTGTATCCCTACAGGGGAGGTAATACCGCCCCATTGTGTGTGGGGAAAGCAGGCCATAGCTTGCCCGAGGTTGCACTGCTAGTGAGAGCTTGGATTTGAACTCGGGTCTTTCTCCAAAGCTTCCCCTCTCTCATCAGTGCCACACTCAGGAGGGGCCGTGGAACTGAGCTGTGCTTCAAAGCCTTTTCTCCTCACACAGTAACTTTAAAAGCCACATGATTTCAGTTGATGTGGTTTTTAAAATTAATTTTTATTTTCAGAGATGGGTGTTATGCCTGAAATCGCGCAAGCTGTGGAAGAGATGGATTGGCTGTAAGTACACGAAGCTGAAATGTACCTGCAACAGCATTGCTTTGTCATTTACTAGTAAACAGTTGGTCATGATTTTATCAGATCTTTTTGGGTGTAGTTGGGTAAGTGAAATTAAGTTTTATTGTGATTCTCTTATAGGACATTTCCTTTTTAAACTTTGATATATTTCTAGCTGAAAAGGATTGGTAGTATTTACCAAATAAAATTTTCTTAGGTTTATAATTTAGCATGCCTACATGCCTCAATTAGCTCAGGTGATTTATTTTTATAATTAAAATTTTTCAAAATATGATTCTTCTAGTCTCCCAACTGACATCCAGGCAGAATCCATCCCACTGATCCTGGGAGGCGGCGATGTGCTTATGGTATGTTCCATAGGGTGAGGGGCTGGGAGCCGGGACACACAATCGGGGGGCTGGTTGTGAACCACTGTAAGAACTCCATAGGCTTCCAGATGATATTTTCACCCAATTAATTTGATATATTTACATGCATTTAGGACACATACACTGCATTCAGAGTATTAGGTAGAGTTGTGGGGAAAATGAAGGTAAGATGTAGCTTTTGCCCTTGAGAAGCTTAACCCCAGTAGCACAGTAACACATGCACACAGGTGATTGTCATAAAAGAGAACCATGGCACCTGGATAAGCTTGCAAAGTTCTAAAGGATTCGAGTGGGGCCAGTTGTCGTCCTGGATGAGGGGACCATGGGGACTCTTCTGGGGGCAGTAGATTTAGGACAAGGGAGGATGAAAGAGGAATGAACTCTATGTAGAGAAGAGAATGCAGGTGTAATCCCGGAGCACTTCAGTTAGAGCAGCGGTTCTCAACCTGTGGGTCGCGACCCCTTTGGCAGTCAAACGACCCTTTCACGGGTCGCCTAAGACCATCCTGCATATCAGATATTTACATTACGATTCATAACAGTAGCAACATTACAGTTATGAAGTAGCAACGAAAATCATTTTATGGTTGGGTCACAACATGAGGAACTGTATTTAAAGGGCCAGAAGGTTGAGAACCACTGAGTTAGAGGGAAGAATAAAATATGTGTGTCTGGTGGAGCGGAACTTGAGATAAGACGGGAAATACACAGTGGCTCAGATGACCTGGGCTCGTTCTCAGGTGTCACTTAAAAGAATTTGGTATTTGTTGGCAGTGGGGATCATTGGACATTTTAAGGAGGAGTGTGTGACAAGGTTAGGCTTGTGTTTTTATGAGGACTAACTTGGTAATAGAGTTCTGAGAGATTAGATACTGTTAGGACACTTTTGTAACCTAGGTTAGAATGATGAGGCCTGAGGTGTGAATGGTAGCAATGGGAAGAGAAAGGGGGGAGTGATTCTTGAGGGAATGGCAAGGTTGGCAGTAGTCGCAGTTGACTGAGGAAACCTGAGAGATCTGGAGGCACCTGAAAGGCAAGGTAGCTGGTCAGGTGAAAACGTCTCATCCGTTAAGTTGACTTCTTTAATTGACAACGTTTTTTTCCATTCAGGCTGCAGAAACAGGAAGTGGAAAAACTGGTGTAAGTAATAAAAACTTAAATTGACTTTGTAAGAGTTGATTTTTAAAGCAACTTTGTCCAGTAATTCTGACTTTGAAATATTTAATAAAGCAACCTCCTGCAGAATGTGACGAAACGGTTGCTTGCCACTGAGAGTGATAGTCTTATTGCCAGCTAATTCTGAAATAACTCTGTAAGGTGTGGCTTTAAGAATACGTATAGTTTTAAACTGGTCTTAGTGACATTACCTTTAGTATTTACAGTCACTTCTGAATTTTACTGTAGTGGCTCTAGTAATAGAGAGATTGCAAATAGAGGTCGATTTCACATTGGCCCAGCCTGGAGAATTAGTTCGTCAGAGTGGGTGGTATTTTTCCTCTTTAGTTTAGGTTCGTTCTGCAGGTTCCTATTCTTTGTTTTTGGAGCTGTCAGCTGGCTCCTGTTATCTTCGTTCAGTCAGCTGTCTGTGAGTCTTCCTGGAATTTGAGGTTTGGGCAAATTGGATGGCAATCTAAAATATGTGTAATTATTTAATGTACATGTGTAACTTCTGTAATTTATGCTGATTAGTAAATTGGCATTGATATCTGAATGCTGATATATGGAACTATTGTTTCTTTGATAGGCTTTCAGCATTCCAGTTATCCAGATAGTTTATGAAACTCTGAAAGACCAACAGGAAGGCAAAAAGGGGAAAACAACAATTAAAACTGGTGCTTCAGGTAATGTTTGCGTAGCAATATTTCCCTTTTGTATAAATTAGTTATTCTCCTCCCTGGCATGTGCAGGTGTGAGGTTTGGGTGTGCATTTTTATTGCCAGGGTCCTCGTGGTGGTATTGGCATTCGGTGCTGGAAGCAGGGATGCCAAGTGTCATTTAGAGCATAACTCATTTGTAAGTGAATTGTGAGGCAGATAGGAGATGAACTATTTAGACCATTGGCCTATTTAAAAATAATTTCGAGACTTGTAACAACTTTAAACCGGTGTTTATGAGAGATGGTTATAAATGAGAATGCTTCCAGAGGGTAACCAGAATGGTAATAGTTCTAATCATGTCCTATGAGGAAAAGAAACTGCATATTTAAGCACGGAGACACAAGTAAAAGAGGTAATTGTTAAACCATTGAAAGGATCTGGAGAGAAAACAATTCCTCTATAAAGTAGGACCAGGACTAAGAGAAATAATCTGGATGAAGCTTCTGTTTAACTTCTGAGGAACTAGATTGAGCCAGCAATTGAAGTTCTCTTGAGAGCCTCAAAAGAAAGTTATTTCTCCATTATTCAAGGTGTTTAAGCAAATGATAGATATAGTTTGATCAGAAATTAAGAAAAGTTGGGCTGAAAACACAGAGTTATCTATAGCTGTTATGATCCTTTGAATATCCATATACTATGAAGGTGTTTTAGAAAAGGAAAATGCTAATCCCATTTAAGTAAGGAAAAATTTTGTGACTTTTGAATATGGTACTGAATTATTTGAGATGAAGAACTTGCTTTTTAAAAATTAATGATGAAATGATAATTAGATCTTGATATGTTAGTCAGTTATTTTTATTTTGATTGAAGTCAGCTTGTTCAGTTACCAGAACTTTATTTTATCAGTGCCCTCAGTTACGACAAAGATCGATGCCATCAAATGCAAAGTGCACTGAAGCAGTGAGGAGGAAAAGTTTTATCCCCAGACAGGCCAGCGATTATTACTGTGTTTCAGTGTTCAATTGCAGTGTTGCTGCTAATAAAAACACCAGTAATTTTTACGTGTACATTTAAAATAATATGTAAAGTTGAATCTAGAGGGATTAAATTATATAAAATATATGCTTTATTTTTGACAGTTTTATTTTTAATTTCATACCTTTGTGGTAACTGTTGTTATATTAATTCATTTAGTGCTCAACAAATGGCAGATGAACCCATATGACAGAGGATCTGCTTTTGGTAAGTGGATAGATTTTAGCAACTCATTTATAAATCAGAAACTTGCTTGTAATAATACCTGAAAATATCAAAATTATGACATCTAGTAAATAAAGATTTAATTCACCAAGTTTTAGAATATAGTTACTACAGTTTCACAATTTAGTACTGACATAGGAATAGACAGATAAATCAATGGAATATAATGGAAATGCATCCAACTATATATAAAATGTTAATATGTAGAAAAAATATTTAATTTCAGTGAAAAGGGTGATTTATTCAGTAAGGGTTTCAGCACAAATGATCCATCTGGAGTAATGTGAAATTGACTTATCTCCTACTTAGGGAAAGGCTTAATATATATATATATATACATATACTACATATACAACTTAGGGGTGGGGAAATTCTCCTAACCCAAATAAGGAACTCAGAAATCATAAAAGAAAAGATATAGGTCTGTTTGTTTAAAATTCTAAAAAATACGTGTGGAAAAGATATTACAGGAAAAAGTCAAGAGACAAAAATAAATATGGAAAGAATACTTGCAATGTTGATGAAAGATAAACAGTCCTTATAAACTACTAAAGAGTTCTTGCATAGATACTTGGTTTTGGTAAGAAAGAGATAAACAACCAATAAGGAAAGTGGGCACAGAATAGGAATAGGCAGTTCATAGTGGAGCCAGTCCAAATGGCAATAAACATGCCAGGATCAAGTTTACAGGATATAGGGAAATGGAAATTAAAGTTACCTGTCTGATTGGCAGTAATCCAAAAGAGTGATAACCGATATGGATTATTGCCTTTGGGAAAGCAGTTTAGCCTTGCCTATTAAAATATATGTATATATATTTATTCCTGGAAGGTCTAACTCTTTGGAATGAAAGTGGCAGTATAGAGGATATACATGCAACACTGTTTGGTGGAGCATTATAAGGGTTAAAACTGCCAACAAAGTGAATGCTATTGCTAAGGGATGGTTAACAAAGCCTAGGGTATATGGAAGAACTGTGTGAAGCCATTACGAAGAATGAGTCAACGCTGTAGGGTTGTCATAAGTGATCAGTGTCAAGAATAGGGTGACTTAGTTGAATTTTCACCAGGTGCTGCTAAGAAAAGTGGGATGCAGAGAAATGTAGAGTGGGCATGAGAAATCATGCCAAAGCAACCAACCAAAACACCCTAACTGCTACTCTCCACCATGATATCTAATTTATATTAAAGTTTATGTCTGTATATATGCATACAGAATTTTACATATAAAAATATTAAGGATTTGCCATTGCTAAAGAATTTTAAAGTTCAACTTTACATAATGTAGTACCCATTGAGTAGGAATGTATATTTTGGATAATTCAATTTCTGATATGTGAAGTAAAATGTACTTTTTAAAAGTTTGTTCTATATACATTCAGGTGCTGAGTATGAGTCTCTAGCCTGAACCAGGGCATGAGTTATTGTTTCTTTGTGGTACACACAAAAGCCAATTTACTTAAAGCTGTTAAGCACCAATAAGCACTATGACTGATGGTGCTGTATGATACAGAACTTCATCTTTTAGAGTTCTAATATTAGCAAATAACAACTACAGGTTTGTTTATTGGAGCTTTTCCCTGCCCTCCCTTATTATATTTTGTGGGTTAATAGATTGGGGAGCAAGCCAGACGCAGTTCCTGTTTTCCTTTTAGCACGGTATTCCCTCAGGCTCTAATTTAAGCATAAGATCAAAGCAACAGGTATTTATGAGTGGGTGCTGTGTCATCCTTAGGATCCATTTCTTTAAGGAATTGTAGAGAACAGTTGTCTAAACACATTTGTGTTGGCGATACAGCTGCTCTTAGTGCACGTCAGATTAGATGCTGCTTTGATTCCTTTCTGACTTGTTGCAGTAAAATCCTGTCCTGGGGAAAATGACTGTAGAGAAACCAGTCCCCAACATGGCCAAGGCCCTCCAGGGGAAGAATAGGGCCCGTTACTCGAGGGGAAGAGGTTGCTGTCACTCAGGGATCGGCACGCCTCATTCTCTGGACCATTGCACCAAGCGAAGGCATTGCCTCATTAGTGAGATGAATGAGACTGTCTCAGAGTGCATGATTCACATCATCTGTACTGACATGGTGTCCTGTGCTTTTCTCAATCCAGCAATTGGGTCCGATGGTCTTTGCTGTCAAAGCCGAGAAGTGAAGGAGTGGCATGGATGTAGAGCTACTAAAGGACTCACGAAAGGTATTGAACTGCATTTGTACACCTGTAAACTTGAGAGGTAATTATTAATAAACGAACTTTCTTACCATAGCTTTATCGCAAGGATCCAGAAGACTTTTAATGTGACAGAAAGACCTACAGTTCTTCATTTGGGTCATACAAATTATAATTGAGAAACGGTGGGAAAGTGGCCACATGGAAAATGGCCACGCGTGTAACTGATAAAACCTTCAAGCGTTTTCCCTTGTAGGGAAGCACTACTACGAGGTGTCCTGTCATGACCAGGGGCTGTGCAGAGTCGGGTGGTCCTCCATGCAGGCGTCCTTAGACCTAGGTGAGTGCTTCCAGAGGAAACCACGTTTATTCATATCTGAGTTGTTAACAGGTGACCATACAAAGTATATGTTTTAGAGACATGGAAATAATATTTATCTGTCCCTCAAACTTTCAAAAAAGATTTGAAGTACTAAAAAATATCCCATATAATAAAAGGCTAATATGCAAATTGTCCCCTTGACTGAGAGTTCAACCAGTGGGTGGAGCCAGCTGGCCAACTGCCCTCAGCCCCTCCCCCCAACCGGCCCCGCCCCTGATTGCCCCGATTGGGGTGGGCTGGCTGGACCCCACCCATGCACAAATTCGTGCACCGGGCCTCTAGTATAGTAAAATTCTTCATTTTACACTCTTCATTTAACAGTGTAAAATGAAGAATAGGTTAAGAATATGAGTGAAGTCAGAATAAAGTTTAGTGTATATAAATACATACCACAGTTATTGTAAATTTGTAAATCTCGTTTGCAGGGCTTTTAATTTTATATCTCACCTCATAAGTAAAGTGTTTTTTTAAACCTAGGTACTGACAAGTTTGGATTTGGCTTTGGTGGAACAGGAAAGAAATCCCATAATAAACAGTTTGATAACTATGGAGAGGTAAGTTGTTTTATTGGCTTGATCATAGCATTAGTAAGTTTTCTTGTGTGTACTTAGTAGTAGTTGGTCACTCATGATATGACTGAGGGTATAGAAATGATTCTCAAATTCAACTGGATTATATGAGTAAAGGGGTGGACAAGGTAGGCTAATAATATAATAAGTAATATAATAATAAATAATACAAGAATAAACTCATGTACTCACAACTGTAAACCTTTTGCCTACCCTGTATTTCCCAGAGGTGGTTCAGATTTGGACTTCAGGGAAGGAACGTTACAAAATTCACTTAGCCCCTCCAAGGCATATTACTTTGTCTTCTGTTTTTACCCCATTTTGATTTGGGCTTTGACTTACACGTTATTCTCATTTCTTAGTTGCCATCATGGTCATCTAATACACTTGTTCTGAACAGTTTAGTCATGTTGGTTCTAAAAAGCCTGTCAGATGCTTCTATTCTGTATGAAATGCTATAATAGGCCTTTTAACGACTACATTCAAGCTTCAAGGAGTTATTTTGAAACATACTTTTGATGCAGGTATATTTGAACTTTATTTATCGATTTGCTTTATTAAAAGCACTTTCTGGTTTCCTAGGAATTCACTATGCATGATACCATTGGGTGTTACCTAGATATAGATAAAGGACACGTCAAATTCTCCAAAAATGGTAAGCTCTCTGTGGATTGTTGTGTTAGAGAAGGTATATTTGTGGTATTTTAAATTCCCTCACCCTCTTCAATCCTCTCTCCCTCCCTCCCTGCCTTTTTCTTTTCTTTCTTTTTTTTTAACAAATACTTGTTGAGCATTTGGTATGTGCCAGGCACCCTGGTAGGTGCTAGAGATTCAGGAGGAAATGGAGTAGACAAACATGTTTACGTTTGTGGGGCTTGCCTGTGGTGGGGCGAGACCGACAAATACCCAGTATGTCAAGGAGCCATGTGCACTGAAGGAGAGGCCAACTCCGTGTAAGGGAATGCAGAGTGATAGCAGTCGGGGGACGAGTACTATTTTACACAGGGTGGTCAGAGAAGGTGTGTCTGATAAGCCGACATTTGGGTAGGAATCTGAATGAGCGGATAGATATCTCAGAAGAGTATTTCAGGCAGAGGGAAAAGTAAATGCAAAGGCCCTGAGATGAACGTGTGCTTGGGTATCTGAGTACAATGTGGGGGCCAGTGGGTCTGGAGCCCACTGAGCCTGGGGGTAGGTGATAGACATTAAACCAGTGAGGTAGTGAGGCCGGCAGCTAGGGCCTTATTGGTCATCATACAGACTTTATTTTGAGTGAGATGAAAGCCACTAGGGTTTTGAGTAGAGAATTGGCATCATCTGATTTGGTTAACAGCGTCACTATATTGCTGTGTTGGATACAGACTGGTCGGTGGGTGGTGGGTTTTGGCAGTAGGCAGGAGCCAGTTGGATGAGAGCAGTGCTATTTGGGACATTGTAAGTGTGAGAAACTTATCATCTGAATGGTGAAATTAAGTAAGTAGTTGCATGTGCAATTTCAGGATTAAGTAAGAGTGAAGAGGGTGGCATTAGGCAGCACAGCTCATCCACGTAGCCCGAGGGGAAGCAGGGATGCAGGTGGGATGGTGGATGGATGGTGTAAGTCCGTGGAGGAGGGGGTGCTATTTTACACAGGGTGGTCAGAGAAGGCGTTTTGATTTCTTTCCTTTTTGTTTTTTAAATTATCAATTATATTTATTTTAAGTTTATCTGTATTGTTCAAAGCATTACATAAGTCCCCCTCCATGACCCTCCGTCCCCCAGGCCTACCACACTGTTGTCTGTGTCCATGGGTTATGCATATAAGCGTATAAGTTCTCTGGAAGTTTTAATTTCTTTCTTTTTTTTTTTTTTAAGGAAAAGACCTTGGTTTGGCATTTGAAATACCACCACATATGAAGAACCAAGCCCTCTTTCCTGCCTGTGTTTTGAAGGTAAGTGAGAATCCAGTTAAAAGAATTTTGCTGAAACCACAGCTACTTTGATCGGCATTATTGTGTATTAGCTAATTTGCTGTTAGATTAAGAATTGTCATTTTCTCCTTTATTCCCTGCTAGAACGCTGAACTAAAATTCAACTTTGGTGAAGAAGAATTTAAGTTTCCACCAAAAGACGGTTTTGTAGGTCTGTCCAAGGCGCCGGACAGCTGCGTTGTCAAATCACAGCACTCAGGTATTGCACTTGGCCAGGGGTTGGGGGGGTAAGGCTTCTCTTAGCAAGTGAGTTATGTATGCCCCCCGCTGGTGTAGGCACACATCTTTAACACATGAGTAAAATTAAATTTCAAAACCAAATTCATAAACTTAAGCATTTGGCTTGAGTTTAGGCATTGTGGGGATCCCGATGATGACGACCCTAGTGTTTGTAACGTGTGCACAGTAAGTGCCACAGCACGGTGCTGGTCTTCACACTGTTTACTCAGTCTCCCTGCAGCCCGTGAGGTAGGGCCCTCCCATTTTCAGACAAAGAATTTGAGGAGTAGGGACGTGAAGTGCCCTGCCTCAGGTTTCAGAACAAGTAAGAGGTAGAACTGAATTCAGACACGAGCAGTTGCCTCCAAAGTTCAAACTCTTACCCATGGTACTGCCTAAGCTGCTTCAGTTATTCAGAGTAAGTACATTTCATAACTTAGTTTATCATAAAGCATATCAGCAGTGGCAATTCTGCAAGTAGATTTAAAGAAACCTTAGTTCATTAGGCCATCTTAGCTTTATTGTGTTTTGTTTGACTACCTCCTATACTTTGGACAATTGTTATTTAAAATTTTGATACTGGACTGTTTGCACGCATGTTTTACAAATAAAGGTACTTCAGTGCGGTTCGGATGTGTTCTGATCCTTTTATTCTCTTCAGGTAACGCACAGGTGGCACAGACCAAGTTCCTCCCCAACGCGCCCAAAGCTCTCATCGTTGAACCCTCCCGAGAGTTAGCTGAACAAACTCTGAACAACGTCAAGCAGTTTAAGAAATATGTTGATAATCCTAAATTAAGGTAAAGCTTCCGTTTGTGTTCAAAACCTCCTGTCTTTAGGTTTGAGGTGTTTGGGAAGAAAAGTAAGGTAGAAAAAATGAGGTAGAAATTCAGTGTGTATACATACACACGTAAATGAGTATTTTAACTCTGATGTAAAATAGCAGTTTCTGTATAAAACTGCTTAAGTGATAAGTTTGATTTAAAAGAAAAGTAAATTGAGATTTTTTTTTTTCTCTTACATGAAGAGTCATGGTTTGCCAAATAGTATCGGAGCAAAAATTAGTCCTTTAAAGGGAGCATTTCATTTGGTAGATCCCTCACTTCATTTGCAGAGGAAATACACCGCTCTCTTTCTAGCGTGGTGGTGACAGCACAGTGAGGTCATTGTCGCTGTCTCACAGTGGTGACCTCCTTCCCTTTGGGTGCTCAGACTGGTCACTGTCCAGTTAGAGGGCTCTTTCTACCAAGTGGAGTGATCTTGTGGAACTTCTTGCTCAGTAGTAGATCCCTTTTAATTTGGAGAAGGAAGGTCATGCCATATAAGTAGTTTATTTGCCACTTGATTTTTGTTCATTTTACTCTAAATTATTTTTTTATTGGAACACAATTCACTATAAAATTCATCCTCTAAAGTGTACAGTTTCAGTGGTTTTTAGTAAAGCCATAGCACTGTGCAACCACCACTATCTGATTTCAGAGACTTTGAATTATTGGCATCATGCAGGCCCATCTCTTTAATATTGCTCTTACTTACAAGTAAAACTCATTCAGGGATAAAGGAAACTTAATAAAACTTTTTGGTAAAATAATTCCTAATTTTGTTTTCAGGATTCATGCTATTTACTTATCCAGTTACTATTTGAATATCTACTGTGTGTGGAGTCTTAGGCTGGGGTCAGGAATATAACAATGAGAATTAGTCATTGCTTTTAGAGAATTGGGTGTGGGAGTGTGGGGCTAGTGGGGAGGGGAGAGAGACAGCAGGACAAGTGTGATGAGTGCCTTGAGGTGGGATAGGCAAAGCCCTGGAGGAGCTTGTAATAAGCAGACCTCTGTGTAATGAGAGACTCGGAACTCTTCATAATAGTGTTTTGGAAGAATGGGAAATGCTAATATGAGTTGGTTCTTATGCTATAATCATGTGTAAAGGTTGATATGCTTGTGGCCAAAGGCTGGAGGGGAACATGAATAGTAAAATTAATGTATTTGTTAAGATGGTAAAATTGTGGGTTATTGATTTCGTATTGAGTACAAATGAGCCTCTCCTTTGAAAACCCAGTTCAAGTCCTGGTCTTTCTGTGAAGCTAACCGAGCTGTACCAGCCCGTCCTGTCCCCCCTGGGTACACTTCCTGTGTACGCCTCGCCTTCATCCTCCGCGCTGTCATATGTTGGTGCTCCTTGTTTCAAATATGTAGCGTTACTCGTCCCCTTCAGATATACACTCCCTCAGACGGGCTGTTCTTTTGTATTTCTCAGCCTAAGGTGGAACCACTGATTTATTTTCTGTCTGTTGATTTGCCTGTTTGGGACGTTTTATGTAAATGGACTTGGACAGCATGTGCTCTTTTGTGACTGGCTTCTCTGACTTGGCCTAATTAATGCTTTTGAGGATTATCAGCATGGATCAATACTTACTTCCTTTAAGTTGCTGAAAAGTGTTCCGTTTGATGCATGTACCACCTTTTTGTTTATTCATACATTAGTTGATGGGCATTTGGGTTGTTTCCACTTTTTGCTATCGTACTGTGAACATGAGTGGACAAGTTTTGTGTGGACATTTCCATTTCTCTTGGTTATAAGCCTGGGGGTCTAATTGCTGGATCATTCAGTAGCTACATGTTTAACATTTTCAGGAACTGCCAAACTGTTTGCCAAAGTGACAACACCATTTGACATCGCTGTTAGTAATGTATGAAGGTTCATTTCTCTGTATCTTCACCAAACTTATATCTGTCTTTTGACTATAGTTTCCCTAATGGGTGGAAGATGGTATCTTATTGTGGTTTTGATTTGCATTCCTGTGTAGCTAATGATGTTCAACATCTCTCATGTGCTTATTGGCCATTCGTAATGTCTGTTCAGATTCCCTGCCTATTTTTCAGTTTGGTTATTTGTGTTTTTGTTGAGTTTGAAGAGTTTTTACACACACACACGCACTGTATTAGTTAAGCTCTGTCTGATTTGCAAATATTTTCTCCCATTCTGTGGGCTGTCTTTTCATGCTATTGTTAGTGTCCTTTGAAATACAAAAGTTTTAAATTTTTATGATGTCCAATTTATGTATTTTTTTCATTTGTTGCTTTTGTTTTTGGTGTGGTATATAAGGAGACTTTGCCTAACCCAGGGTCATGAAAGTTTACGCCTATGTTTTCTTGTAAGAGTTTATAGTGTCAGGTCTTACCCTTAGGTCGGTGGTTCATTTTGAGTTAATGTTTGTGTATGACATAAAGAGGTTTAACTTCACTCTTTTGCAAATATCCATTTGTCTAGCACCGTTTGAAAAGACTTCTTTCCCTCCATTGAATTGTCTTGACATAAGACAATATTTTAAACCTAAACATTGTTTTTGAAGTATTTTGAATGAGAAAAATTTAAACAACTAAAGGATATTCTGTGAAAAGTAAATCTCCTTCCACCTCATCCCCCAGTTTTTAGTTATTCTGCCTGGCGGCAACTTTTAAAACTTGATGTTTACATATTATTTCAGAGCTGTTCTGTGCACATACAACCATTACATGTGAAAGGTGATTGAAATGAGGCCCGGAGCCCTGGAGGGCTGTGAGATGAGGGCTCATGTTTGTGTGCTCTGTGCTTGCACGCTCTGCTCGCTTTCCCACACTTGCACATTTCATAGGCCCCGGGTATGGAGCACTTCGTGTCCCTCCTCCTTCCGACTTTCCTGTGGATTCTCCCTTAGTTACTCAACTCAACTTTCATTTCCACTGAAAAGAGATGGGTGCAGATCATACAGTAAGTGCGCTTTAACCTTTTTCTACATTATTATTCTGCTATTTATTTCAGGGAGCTTCTGATCATTGGAGGTGTTGCAGCCCGGGATCAGCTCTCTGTTTTAGATAACGGGGTAAGTTGTACTTCTGATTTTTAAAAAGTCACATCATGGGTGGTCATTTTGGCAATATAGTTGTGTTGTGTTTCAAGAGATGAAAACAAGGTCAAAAAGTATAAATTTGTTCAAAGACATGTTGCAGCAGGTAAGCCATTTTTCCAGGAACAAACATACATCAATCTGTTTACCTTTTGAGCACCTGAGAATTCCCCCCTCACTTTCATGAATCAAGTATCCTTTGGGGGAGGGGGTGCAGTAATTGAAAAAGAGGAGGCTGGAATTAAGACTAGAAATGGAGAGAGAGTGGATTGCAGAGAAGGAAGCAGTTTTGGCAGAGAGATCCTCGGGATAGGTGAGGATGCTAGACCTGGCCCCAATAGGAGGGAGATGGGGTCAGATACGTGTAAGGGCTGTGCTTAGCCATGCGTTTATAGACAAAGCTAAGCTGGGATCTTCATTAGAGAAATTGTTAGCTGTGCTCATCAATTCGGTGAAGCTAAATATGGTAGGACCTTATAAAACATTTTATATGTATGAAATAACCTCTTCCGTACACATTTCTCTTCCACTTCCTTAATATTTTCTCATTCGGTCTAAGCCACCTGGCACTGAGTCATGGGGCGCAAACATGCCCTCCCTCCCATTACATTGCCCCATTACAAAGGAAATCTCATACTGAATGGTTTAGATTTGACCTGGTGTGGCATGTGAAGAGCAAGGAATCATATTATGTACTGGACTTGTTAAGATAGTAATAGTCTAAGATAGTAATATTGCTTTAGTATGTTCTTTTTAGTGTGTTACATTTTAGTGGTTGAAGAGATATTTAATATGTTCATTCCCATCTTGGTTCCCTAATCCCAAATCTATTTTTTCATAAGTTATTACATTTCTTACCTCCTATTTTACAGCTACAGAGCTTAGGGAGTTAGGTCTGCCTTCGTCAGTCCGCCTGAGGTGTGCTGCTGGCTGGGGCGATGGCAGGGTCAGGGCAGCGCTGCTCCGAGCTCTCTTATAGGAGTGTTTCCTTCTGCTCGGGATCTACGGTGTTCTCTTCTGTTCTTTCCATCTTGCCTTCTCTTCTCCTGTTGTTCTCCACCATCCTCTGGCTCAGCCTTAGCCTTGTGTGTGTCTGCAGCCGAAGTCAGCGTTGGAGTGACAGAGTAGAGCTATTCAATTTTTAAAAATCTTTTAAAGTTGCAGCATTATGCACATGTGCGATCGAGACCTGGTGGAGTAGTTGGGATCATTACGCAGGTCAGGTTAATATATTTCTCAGGCTTTTCTAACTTAACCGAGTTATTTTCTCATTTTCAACGATGCTTCTTTGATGCTTTCCAGGTGGACATAGTGGTCGGCACTCCGGGGAGACTGGATGACCTGGTGTCCACTGGGAAGCTCAACTTGTCCCAAGTTAGGTTCCTGGTCCTGGACGAAGCCGTATGTTGAAATATGTTATGCTTTTTTAAAGTGTTTGCTTTTATTTTTGAAGCTAAAATATGTAAAATAAATTAAAAATATAATTCAGTCATGATTCAAATACCTAGAGATAATCATTGTTACCAGCTTGGTATATTTTCTTCCACTTCTGTATTTATGTATTTGTTATTTTATGTAGTTGAAATCAAGTTTTTAGGAATCTAGGAAAGCTTTTTTTTTTTTTAATGTAGTATCGTTAAGTTTTCATGTTATTATTCATAAAAGATTTTTAAAGGCTGTCTAATGGTCTGTTATATGGATACTTCCTTGTTTATTTTACTGCTCCTGTTACTAGATGTGTAGGTTTGTTTTTCTTTCTAAATAGTTATTTTTGTGTGTACATAATTTTTTTACACATTACAAATTATTTCTCTTTGTCACAGTTGCAAATGGGAACTGTATGAAAAGACATTAATTTGTTCGAGCTCTTGCAACGTACTTCCAGATTAATTTCAGGAGGGGGCAGTAGTTTTCAGCGCAGGTTTTTGGTTTTTGTTTTGTTTTGGTTTTGCTTTTTTTCATATTAAATCATATGCTTAGGACATGTGGTAGGAGCTGTTAACTCTCCTGTTCATTCATGAATACTAGAGTGTGGTGTTTGCATTGTGTATCACCAGCTTTTTCATATTTTAGTCACAAGTTTAAAGTGGAATTTATAACTTGTCTTTAAGTATCCAAGAGAAAATAATCACTTAAAAAATACGTGGATATATATCCGTATGAATTAGTTTCTATATCTTACATTTTACGTGTGTTTCAGAAAAGAAAGGTTTAGATCCTGATTTAAAACTGACGCTTTTCTTTGCTTCTCACACAGGATGGGCTTCTCTCTCAAGGCTACTCGGATTTTATAAATAGGATGCACAATCAGATCCCTCAGATCACCTCTGATGGAAAAAGGCTGCAGGTAAAGGACTAACGCATCTCAGAGACATGACCATCTTCATTACGTATCAGTGCTTCATTTTTTATCTGAATTTCACATCTTTTAGTGCAGTGGTTCTCAACCTTCCTAATGCCGTGACCCTTTAATACAGTTCCTTATGTTGTGGTGACCACCAATTTCGTTGTTACAAATTGAACATAATTAAAGGATAGTGATTAATCACAAAAACAATATGAAATTATATATGTGTTTTCCGATGGTCTTAGGCGACCCCTGTGAAAGAGTCGTTCGACCCCCAAAGGGGTCGCGACCCACAGGTTGAGAACCGCTGTTTTAGTGTTTTCTGATTAACTGCTCTATGAATGTTTTCTTTAGTACTTGATTATATAATGCACACAAAGGAAAAGGTCTAGTTTAGAGAAGTTTATAAGTTTTTAGGTAAGTCTAAACCTTACAATTTTAGATCTTCAAAACCTTTTCATCTTACTTAGTTTTTGTTGTGCCTTGAGGAATAGAGGTCGTGACTTCTGAGGCAGCAGGGGGTCTGAGCGCAGAGAGATGAACTTGCCCAAAGCCACACCACTAATTGCTACAGAGTCGGGTACCGAACTTGTCTTCAGATTCCAGGCGTAGTGTACGTTGTGGCCCACATCAACATCACAGGTGGAGTTACTATAAAATAAAAGTTTATCTAAACTTTGATTTTTCTATTCGTAGGTGATTGTTTGCTCTGCTACTTTGCATTCTTTTGATGTAAAGAAACTGTCTGAGAAGATAATGCATTTTCCCACGTGGGTTGATTTAAAAGGCGAAGATTCCGTCCCAGACACCGTGCACCACGTGGTTGTCCCCGTGAATCCCAAAGCTGACAGACTCTGGGAAAGGCTGGGGAAAAACCACATTAGAGTAAGTCTTTATAATGTTAACATTTGCACAGAGTAAAGCAGTCGGAAACTAGCTTTACCTCGGGCTCTTAGTGATGCTTAACACAACCAGAGAGTTGACCTCAGTAAAGAGAAGTCGAGCAAAAGTTTAGGAAAACGTTAGTCCTCTAGGGCATGGAATAAGTGATGGACTCATCTTTTATTTTTCTGTCTCTATATAGTTGCTTTTGATAAAATTTTTATAAATAAATAGGATTACCTGTATATATAGACCTGATTTCAGATGCAGTGATTTCCATTTTTAGTAGTTAGTGTTTTCTTGATGTGCCTTATTTTTTTAAAAAAATTAATTTCATGTGTCTATCATGTCATTTTCCATCACTGTTACTGGATTTACCATTATATAAGGGTATGTTTATTATGAATACACAAAGTTCTAAAAACCATCTTTGTATTTTTATTATTACATTTAAAATTGGTTAGCCTTAGACCTGCAGTTAATAAAGGGTTTTTCTGAATCTGAAGAACACTTGCCTACAGATTATAGAAATATATGCCTGAAGTGCAGTCTAAAGATAAATACAGTTCTCTTCTTTTAAAAAATGATACCTGTTCTGAATTGTTGCTTAAACCACTCCCCACCCCTTTTGTATCCTTGCTGTTTGATAGACGGATGAAGTTCATGCAAAAGATAACACAAGACCTGGTGCTAACAGTCCAGGTAAGTGAAAAATATCAGTGAAACGAGCTGAAAGATTGTGAAAACAAATTGGTGTATTTTATTGTGTTTATGCCCTGTCTCATGGGATCTATAAAAGTAGAATAGGAAATCTGAAAATAAAAGCAACAAAAATAAGAAAGAAATGGGAGGAAAGCTGATACTAGGCAACTTAGAGGAATATTAGTGACTGAATTTAAGATATTAGCCTCCTGGCATCTAAATCACATATACTTTAAATTATAGAATGCTCACTGATCATAGGAAACATTTCTCTGGTGACAGAGATTATATTATATTGGCCCTGAATTCCAGGGGCTCTTCATTTCAGGAATCTAGATAACAAAGAAAAGGTCTTTAGCTACAACTTTGTGAGAGATAGAGATATGACCTAGAAATGGTTTATTGATTCTTCTTGAATCAATATCTGTAACATAACATTTACCATTTTAACCTTTTGGGATATTTTTCATGGAAGGCAGTGGAACTAGGGATTAGAAAGTCCACAGAAGTTAGCGTGCTAGGGGAGCTGTATGATGGAAACCTGGAAACCTATCTGGCAATCATATTCCCTGGGAGGGCCCCGAGGACACACCATTGACCAAGGTAGAGCCATGCTGGTGAAAGGGGTACCAGACTCTGTTCGGCAGCGGCTCTCCTCTAAGGACAGATTACTAGTGGGAGATGCTGTTTCAGAACTGGACTCCCAGGTGGCATTGGGGATGCTAGGATGGCCCCACTCTCCTATACACAGAGGCCAGGTGACATAGCAGTTATAAGAAGCCAAGTAGGTGCTGTGGTGAGCAGCAAGATGAGCGAGGAAGGCGGCATTTATAGAGATACAGAGAGGGCTGGTCTCCATTCCCTGCAGAGGTTGAGCGCATGCTGCATGACCCGAGGCCCCACCATGAATTGCATTGTTAGCATAGGCTGCAGCATAGGCCAGGCCCCCAGGTACAGAAGGACAGGCGGGACATTTCAGGGGCTCAGGGGTCACCTCCCAGACCTTTTTGGACAAGGTCAGTTCTTTACTACTCATTTTCTCACCAGCGCCTTCCTTTCATCTGCATATGCCTCTGTCCTGTCAGACCCACTTCAGGTCAAGTTGGCTTTAACCATTTTTAAGTGGATGGGCTCAGTGGCATTAAGTATACAGTCCTGTGTTACCACCACCACCCACCTCAGAACTTTCTCATCTTCCCAAACTGAAACTGCATATCATTAAATATTTCTCAGTTTTTAAAAAGCCTTACATTAAATTCCGATTCAATTAAGATATTTGTATGCAGAGCTCAGACAGTTTGTCTCATGTACATAATGCTTTAAAAGTTTATGAAGATACATTGTGATACAAGGGCAGCGCTTCGAGAACCTGGGATGCATCTTCGATCCATTAGGCTGCTTGGCCGATATCAGGTGTCTCAAGCGGATGGTGGCCTGGGTGAGGCTGCCCTGGCTCAGGTGGATGTCTGCAGTCTTGATGGAAGAGGGTTCCTTTGAACCATTTTACCTGCAGCTCCGCTGCTGTGTGCTCAGCTGGCCTCTGTTGGAGAGGAGCAAAGGCTCTGCTCGTTCACGGTAACGGCCCTCCTGTGTGGGCTGCAACCTGTAAAGTCAGTGTTTGCTGCTTCGTTTCCTTTTCCTTGTACAACTTCTGCTGCGTTTTATATAATTAGAGATGACCACAGAGACCTTAGAGATATTCTGGGTTATACAGTAGAATGTGCATTAGGTAGTTACCAGACTATAGCCCAGCTTCCCATTGAAAAATAAAGATTTGGAGGTTGGTGTCTAAGAAATTACTAACTAGGTTTGATGTATGGTTTTTACTCCATAGAGGGAAGTATGAACTTTTTGGTGTTTAGGTTAACTTAGAAAGTATATTACTTGTTTTTAAATGGGGTTAAACATTTATGGCACATTTAGGGAAGTTAATGTGAGGCACAATAGAATTAATTCTCCATAAAGGGTGTGGTTGTGTTTTTCCGTGTGTGTGTGTGTGTGTGTGTGTGTGTGTGTGTGTTTCCCTCATAGGAGGGATGGGTAGAGGTGTTTTGGTACCCCACAAACTGGCATCACGTTAAAGCAGAGTTTAAGTGAGTTAAGCAGCAAGTCTGTGACTAATTATTTGTGTTCATGACAAATTCAGATTGAGATTCTGTGTTTTTGTTTTTCTCTGGTGATATTTAAGAGATGTGGTCTGAAGCTATTAAAATCCTGAAGGGGGAGTATGCTGTGCGGGCAATCAGGGAGCACAAGATGGACCAGGCAATTATTTTCTGTAGAACCAAAATCGACTGTGACAACTTGGAGCAGTATTTTATGCAACAAGGAGGAGGTAAGGTTTCCTTACTTGAAGTAAATTGTGCTTATTCCCTCATTCAGCCGGTTATTAATCTCCGGTTGATGCAGTCTAGAATGCGCACAGAATGGAAAGCAGTGATGGTGCGCTGTGTGTGTGCTGAGTCAGTGCTTTTCTGTAAGATGAGCCTGGGAAAAGCAATGAGACCATGTCCACAGAGGTCGTTTCCTTACAGTGAGCGTGAGTCACAGTGTTTTAAGGACCTATGTCATTTGGAAGGAGGGTGAAGTTACTGAGTGATGTTAAAATTTCAAGTGTATTTCCTAAGTAATAGAATGTATGTCTTTTAAATTGGTATATGAGGAAAAAACCTTAATCTAAATAAGGCTAAATAAGAAAAGAAGGGGAAATGAGAAAAAGCAGAACAGTTAGAAATTACAGAATAAGAGATGGCTGGTGGAAAAATCGGAATATATGCCTGAACACTGTAATATATACCAGTGGACTAAAGTCTGTTCAAAGGCAGAGGTTGGCCCAGCCACTGTGGCTCAGATAACTGAGTTGTGTAGAACAGCGGTCACCAACCGGTGGTCCGTGTGGTCCGAAAGGTTGGCAACCGCTGGTGTAGAACACCTTCAGGAGGGCAGGCTTGTGGGCGTGGCCTGTTAGTAAGGGCATGGACTTCGTGGTGCCTGTTTTGATTCTTCCAAGAATAACCTCTTTTACCTACTTTTGGTTTTCGCTTTGTATGGTACAGGGGAAGTTCCTGGTGTCCACATGCATTTTCCTCTTACTAATGCATTTCATTGGCATGCTGCTTTATTTACTCCTGCAGATAGGGAAGGTGGCTTAAAATGTCCTTCAAAGCAAAATCAAATTTAATGCCAGGGAGTTTGTTTTAGTGGCACTTTGCCTAATTGTGTTAACCCTGGTTTGTGACATAGATTCCATAGAATTATATGGTACCATTATAGCCTGACTTCCATTGTTTTTTTTTACATAATCTGAGGCTAGTGTTTTCCAAAGTTAACTCTTAATCTGCCTTCCACTAGGGCCTGATAAGAAGGGACACCAGTTCTCCTGTGTTTGTCTGCATGGCGACAGAAAGCCTCACGAGAGAAAGCAGAACTTGGAAAGATTTAAGGTATTGGCATTGAAATCGTTTACATTTCCTTCATACAAAAGAGGAGAGTTGTATCTGGTTTTAATCAGTTCCAGTTAATATTCATAAAGCAATTCTTGTCCTAGAAATTTCAAAATATTTCTGTCCTCGCTGGTGTATCCCATTCATGGCTGGGCTTAGTCATCTTTAAGGTCAGATGGTAAATTACACATTCTCTATCAGCACGACACTACTGTAACAAGAATTTTTAATTTGAGAATGTTTTAGTTAAATTCTTTCAGGTAGATATTTTTAGAAGCATCATTAGGTAGGTAAGCCATGTCTGTGAGCCTTTAACAAAAAGCTTATAGTAATGCCCATAGAAAACTTACTATGTAGATTATTTTCAGACAGGTATCAAAATAGGATTTTGTAGAATTACATATAGTTTTAATTGTTTGGGGCAGACTATCCCAGCTGCAGCACATGAATAGGTTATAAGGTGGGTGGGGCTTGAGCCTTTTAAGACTCAAGGTCAGTAGCCTCCACCAACAGTATCCTTATTGTTTATCAGTGTGTTCATTTCAGTGCATAATGCATTCTCTCAGGCGCATCATGAAAAAGGTGAGAGTGCTGGGCGAGGGAACTTTGGGTTATGTTCCCATGCTCTGGATTGATGTGGATGGCAAAACATACGGAATGGCCTGGTACTCAGGGTGCCGCCCTTCTGTATCCGGGCATTCTACTAGACCAAAACCCGTGTGCCCTTCCCTCTCCCCCAGAGCTCTCACTGTGCTGTGCCTCGGGCCAGACCCGTCCCAGGCTGATGTGTATTTCCTTAGTGAGCACCAGGGGGCACTCTCTGCCCCTTCTCTTGAGCGTTTTTCCTCACAAACGTCGAGGTAAAATACCCAGTATTCTGAATTTATTTCAATGCAAGGCTAAAAATAATGCTTCTGTTTTTATAGTTTGTTCTATTCTATCTTTCTCTTGAATTACCTATCAGGATTTCTGAAGATAAAGCCAAATTTTAGCAAAGGTTTAATATCTTTGATATAAGAGAAAAGAAAAGCAAAATAAATCTAGTCATTGATTTATTCACCTTAAATGTTGTATTTAGTGAATCATAACTTAAGAATTCAAGAGTTGGCCCAGAGAATAAAGACTATCTGGATCTTTAATCTGAAAGTAACACAGTAGTTACTAGAGTTCTCAGTGAGTGGAAAGACAGTGTTGTGTTTATTTTTTTGTATATGTGCTGATAAATGCCTTTCTGTCCTCTTGGTTCCCTGTAGAAAGGAGACGTAAGATTCTTGATTTGCACAGATGTGGCTGCCAGAGGAATTGATATCCATGGTGTTCCTTATGGTAAAAAGACACTTTTTATGCCTGCAGATGGAATTTTATGGAATTTAAAGTAGTAAACTAATATTTTCAAAATATTTAGAAACTCATGGCAGTTGGTAATGACCGATTTCATTTACAGTCATTAATGTCACCCTGCCTGACGAGAAGCAGAACTATGTCCACCGGATCGGCCGTGTCGGCAGAGCTGAGAGGTACCGCGGCCCTTCCCTCCTCTCTGAGCCTCTGTGCTGGGGGGCGGGGCCTAATGAGACTGTTCACCTCTTTCAGGATGGGCCTGGCCATTTCCCTGGTGGCGACAGAAAAAGAGAAGGTACTCCTCACCGTGCTGGATCGCATTCATTGTCTATGTTGGAAAGAAAAGCAGTGGGATTTTCCCATTTCCATTGAATTTGGTTGCACATAGAATATAAGTGACCTCTTTGTGGCTTAATTTTTTAAAATTTTTTATTTTTGTGATTATGTTCACTAAATGGATAAATAGGATGAAGTTTGGAAGGGAAAAATGCAAAATGATATTTGTCCTAATAGCTTTGAAATAATTTTCACCAAAATATATTTAAACTCTGGCATGGTGCCATAGAAGATTTTTATTTGGGGGAGGGAGGAGTAACTTACTATTTTGATATACTTAGAAATTTACAGAAAGGTTGCAAGAATAAGGAATTCCCATATACTCATTGCCCAAACCAGTTCATTTTGCTTTTTGCTTTATTTCCTTAGAGAAGAGATTTGAACTTATTTTTCATACTCATCTTGATATAGCATTCTCCAATATGTACTTTTTCATTCTTGTTTCTATGGGAGAATCCCTTTCTATAACTGACATCCATTTTAGAAAAACTGTTGGATTATTTTCAAGAAGAGTTCTTTCGGGAAACCTGGTTAAAAAGAGCTACTGAGCGGTGGTGGTAGAGCTGCACCTGCAGTCTGTCTTGAGGACAGACGATGTTAAAAACAAGGTGAAAATAGAGCATTCGAGCATGTTTCCGTCTCCGCGCATGTTCACTCCTTCTCCCTCTCTAGGTCTGGTACCATGTGTGTAGCAGCCGTGGAAAGGGGTGTTACAACACCAGGCTCAAGGAGGATGGCGGCTGCACCATATGGTACAACGAGATGCAGGTAAGATGCCAAAAGCTTATTACAGTTGGAAAATAGACTTCATTTGTTTGCAAAAGTCATATCAGCATTTATCTGTTGTCACTTAGGAGGAAAAGTATTGAGTAATTATGATGTTAGCTATAGTTTATAAATTGTAACTGAGTTCATCTCTTCAGAAATCTAACTTCCATTTATACTAAGTATTGTACAGCTTCCTGGTTTTATTTAACGCTACTAAAATGCAACTCTTGTCAAAATGAAATTTTCTCTCCCTTTCTTAGTTGCTCTCTGAGGTAGAAGAACACCTGAACTGTACCATTTCTCAGGTTGAGCCAGATATAAAGGTACCTGTGGATGAATTTGATGGGAAAGTTACCTATGGACAAAAAAGGGCAACTGGTGGTAAGCTTTGAATTACTTTTAATTCTATTTTAAATTAGAATGTTTCCTCTCTGAGCATCAGTGTAAGAAGCGAGTACTTTTATTTCATAACTAGAGGCCTGGTGCACGAAATTCTTACACTGGGGGGTAGGGGGGGGGTTCCCCTCAGCCCAGCCTGCATCATCTCGCAGTTCTGGAGCTCTTGGGAGATGTCCGACTGACAGACATCCTTAGCGCTGCTGCCATGGAGGTGGGAGAGGCTCCCGCCACCGCCACTGCGCTTGCCAGCCGTGAGCCCAGCTCAGGGCTTCTGGCTGACCGGTGCTCCCCCTGTGGGAGTGCACTGACCACCAGGGGGCAGCTCCTGCGTTGAGCATCTGCCCCCTGAGGGTCAGTGCATGTCATATCAACCGGTCGTTCTGCATATTAGCCTTTTATTATATAGGATGTTAAGTGTGTATTTTTAGAATGTTACTCCCTCTTTATTACTCTCATAGCACTTGTCCATACCTGCCCATTGCATTTTTATTGTATGATGTATGTGAATGCAGAAGCAGCATAGCTGCTTCTCTCGAGGTGTTAATGTCATATGAGTAGTTGAATATTTATAGAATTATTAGGGAACGAGTGTAGTGGTTATTTTGAATGAAGAATCAGAAACCTTTGACTTAGTTCAGTGGTAACCCAGTCTCCCCTTCCCTTTGCCTGGAATGCCCTTTGCTCATTCCTGAAATTTTGTTAAGATTCAGGCTAACCTCGTGCCTTCCCCAATCAAGGACGAGGACAGGGGAGGGAACAGATGGGGGTATTGGGTCAGCTGTTAGTGAGGCCGAATCATGGATTTGTAACGATTTACCATTTTAGAACTCTGAGTTTTTGAGATAAGTTGCCCGGTAGTACATTTTTATTGCTAGAAGCAACATTTAAACTGATGCAATTGAGCCCAAGTATTGCTGACAAGTTGTTTCAGGCAGGTCATTTACATTGCTTTGTGCTCTGTGTGTGATGCAGGTGGAAACTATAAAGGCCATGTGGATGTTTTGGCACCTACGGTTCACGAGTTGGCTGCCCTTGAAAAGGAGGCGCAGACGTCTTTTCTGCACCTTGGCTACCTTCCTAACCAGCTGTTCAGAACCTTCTGATTCTAACACCCCGAGTAAGACTTGAGTGATGCGGCTGTCGTCCTAAAACTCTAAAACGGCTGTACTGCTTCCAGGCAGCAGCGTTTATAGTCACTTAAGCTATTAATGCTAACTCTTGCATGTCAAGAAACATGGAACATTAGTCATAGGAATTCTTCATGTAATGGCAACCTAATGAAAGTAATAAATGTGATGACTCTATTTTCAGGAAAGTCTGTGTCTTATGTTAACGGGACTTGATAGTTTTTCCTCAAGAACGCTGTGGTCTTACGCCGTGCAGGTCACGGGCATGTGACCTTGGCAGCGTCCCTCTGTGGAGCCACTGTGAGTATCGGAGAGAGCTTCTCCCCAGGCAGCGGCCCTCAGGGGAGACGGGCTTGCGATGGTGACGGTGCCTGCGTGTGTCCGTAGCCGGAGAGGTCTGAGTGAGAGAGGACCGGTGGTCCCGCGGCAGGACAGCTCGGCTAGTCTGATGCGGGTGTTCTAGGAGCTGGAAGGTTCTGTGAGGACTGACGACAGTGGGTGGTGGCGACAGTGAAGATGTATCCCTGGAGGTTTGCCTTTGCTTTAAGACCCTTTCTCCCCAGGTTATGCCCACAGAGATAAAACGCTCCCACTGTCCCCCTGGGCCTTACACTTAAACACAGTCCTTTGGAATATATGTCCTCAGACTCTCCTGCCTAGCACCAGAAGGAAAAATTAAATACATGTAATTGAACTGCTCTTTTGTGCCATTTGACTCTAGTTTATAAAGTAGTTTCTTGGGGAGTTTTTTTTTTTACCTTAGAGATTTCTTAAGAGCACAAGTTACAATGTCTTGTACGATGGTTTTAAACCTTTGAGCACTGAAATATTTCTTCAAACACAATCTTGAGTGAAACTAAATATATAAACAGTGGGAAACGCATTACCATTGACTGACTTCCCAGTGCTGAGTCCTGGTGCGGGTGGCGGGATGAGAATTTCATTCTTTCACCCACATCTGGACCACTGTCCTTGGAGGGGTCCTCGCACGCCACGGCCGATCTCACAGCTGGGACAACAGCTGGCCGCGACCACGCACACCAGTCACTGCTTTAGAGTGAGTGTTTCATCGACGTGGAGGCAAAGGGCAGACTGACCTCAGACCGCTCAGCACTGGAGCCGGAAGAGGTTGGCCCGGGCTGCTCACGCCCTGGTTTGTGGTACAGGAGCGAGTCGGGCGGGCTCACATCCACAGGGCCTGTCTGGTCGAACTGGGACCAGACCCTGGTCCTGGGGCAGCTTTTCCTCTCTGGTCTCCCTGTGGATGAGGATTCCCCGGGCGCAGGGATCGGCCAGAGAGGAGTGCTGGGCAGAGCTGGGAGGCCGTGGGAGGGTTTATCGTGTTTTTCCCTTCCAAATGCCATCCAACGGGAATTATCCAGGGAACAGAGTTCTTAACAGAGGGAGCTCCATGTAACAGGCCAGAGGGGGCTGCCTGGACTTCCGACCGACCGACCGACCAACCGTCTCTTCTCATCATTATCCTTCTCTTCATCTCAGTCCCCGCGTCCAGATGCTATTCCTCCAGCCTCTGGTCCATGCTCAGGATGTGAATAATCGCTCAGTCCTGGTTAAGAAGTGCTCGCTGAGCCATGCGTGATGCTGATTGTCCCATTCCTTTTACCAATAGAACCTCCTGGGTTTTAGTCAGTTCAGTATAGATTGCCTTGCTGGTCCATGGGGTGTGAGCCGAAGTGATGTGTACAGCTGGTCACACCCTCCCACCTGCCCGTCCCTTCTCCCTCAGCTGTTACACGCATGTGGTACTCGTGGGCCAGGTTCCCACAGAAGTGTGTCATACTTGGCAAATGGCAGGGCAACAGGGCAGAGGAACCTGGGTGACCTTGTACAAGGGCTGCCCACCCTCTGGGCTGCCCAGCACAGTCACTTGGTCTTACCTGAGCCTCTCTATACTTAGGTCACTCTTGCTAATACCCTGTACTAAGGCCCTGGAAGGTCCAAGAAGTGTTAAGATCACCCCTCAGGTGTAGTATCTGGCTTGACATTGGCTCTGTCCACTCTGAAGTGTAAGAGCTTATACAAGTACTCACAGGTCTCGTTGGTGTGGCTCTCATGTCCGTCCTCTCACACCCAGAAATGCCCAGGCTGGCCCCACCTTCACCGACGTCCTAGTCTGGGCACATTCCTCCTCATCACCCGTCCTCTGCTCATTCGTTCTCTGCGAAGCCACCTGCGGGCTTCAGTGGCTGGAGTTACTTTCCTAGTGACTGAAATCGTTTTGTGTTTGGGAATTTTTTGTTTCTTCAAATTTTAATAAACTTAAGTGAGCTTCTCTGACTCGGGTTATGTAGTCCTGGTATTCCTAACGTGGAAGATACTTTCAGCCTCGTGAGGACAGGCCCCCCTGAGCGCACACGGAAAACCCGACGTGGCGTGGAAATGTGTTCATCGCTGGGCTGTCTGCCCTTAGAACGGACTCCATAGGACTAACGTGGTGGCAACTAGAAGAGTGCCAGAGCCTTCCTGCACCGCACTCCCCGTACACGTTCCTGTAATGGACTTCAGATCAGCGCAGTCCCCACCCTTCCCACAGTCACTGCTGGCATTTTGGTTCATTTGTTTTTTCTGTGAATTTTTTTGCTGTACAGTGTAGATCCTCCTGTGTGTGCAGTTTGATATCTTCATGCAGCATTTCTCGTTACAAAGACGTCAGTGGCTGCATGATCCGTTGGACGTGCTGTGGTTGATGGACCCTTCACACTCACTGCTTTCGAGCTCCGGTGTGCACCTTGGAATGCCTGGCCGGGCGCAAGTCCAGCTCCGATGCTCCCCTTTCTAGCAGGACGCCCGAGGCCAGGCCCTTGCCTCTGCGTGTCTTCGTTAGAGCCCCTCTTCAGCTTCTTTGTTTATAAAAACAGTGAAAATAATTCACATCATTCGCGATTCTGTTAAGCATTCAGCGAAAGTGTAGCAGCTAGCCCAGCCGTGGGCAAACTACGGCCCGCGGGCCGGATCCGGCCCGTTTGAAATGAATAAAACTAAAAAAAAAAAAAGACCGTACCCTTTTATGTAATGATGTTTACTTTGAATTTATATTAGTTCACACAAACACTCCATCCATGCTTTTGTTCCGGCCCTCCGGTCCAGTTTAAGAACCCATTGTGGCCCTCGAGTCAAAAAGTTTGCCCACCCCTGGGCTAGCGGGTAGGCACTCACACCACCTTTTACAGTGCTTCCACGTTGACATCTCTCCCGTGCTACATACGCATCACATTTCTCTGGGAATCTTTGATCTGCGTTTCAGATTGTTTCCTTCTATGACTTTAATTCCTGGATTGAGTAAAAGTGAATGAGCCTAACGAACATTTTTCAGGGTCATTACCAGGTTGCGTTGTTGCGCTAGTTGACATTCACACTAACAATGTCGGAACGATTCTGTACAATTTATTTTCCAAACTGAAACCCTACTCGTGTGCACTTAAAGCTCGTTCTCGTGCTGTCTCCCCACATGGTGTGCGAATGGTGCTGGCAAACAGAGATGGTCTGATGTCTTAATGCAGCGTTTTGACTCACGGCTCCTTTCCTGGTCCTCACCCCTGCCCACCACCATCATACGGCACACAGACCCAGACTTGTATGTGCAAGCCTTCTGTATTTTCTTTAAGGTAGACGTGCATTTGGCAATGACTAAAAACAGCCAGATTTTTTTTTTAAGTTAATTCTCAATCAATTCTAAATGGGCAAACACCATCTAGACACATTTTACCTTATTCTTCTGACTTAAAACACATTTTATTGCAGTTTGAATGAGATATGAAAAATGTGTAGATAACCATAAAATGAGGTCTGGGGTAGGTCCCCCTGTATAGTAATTTATCATTTCCCTGTAGGTTCTGATGGTTTCCAAAGTACTAGCAGGGACTTTTTTCCAAATGACCTTATTTGGGGGAAAAGGAATATTTGTTAGGAGGGAAAGAATGTAGTGGAACAGGAAGGAAAGGGAGGGTATTTTGCTGCTCCAAAGTAATTGATCGAGGATTCCTTTGAAGGGAGGAGGGCAAGGGGAATTTTGGCTGTTTTCCTTTCTGCTGCTTTAAATAATTACCTCTCATTTAAAGCCATCCAGAACTGTGGTTTTTCTGACAGAGGTTTCAGTCCTACTGGTCAGAAGTTGAGGGGAATTGGAAAGGACCCGGGGTCACATGGGCTTGGATCCCATCTTGGCAATAGTCAGTGACTTCTGGCTCGTCCAATCACACACAGAGATTGTTAGTTCTAAGGTGGGACTCTGGAACCTGCATTTTGACAGATTCCTCAGTCAATGGAGGTGCAGATGGACCTTGAACCCAAGACCCACTGTTACAGATAAATGGCTCTTAGAACTTGAACTCTCGCTGCAATCTTTCCCCCTAAGAGCCAGGCAAGATGATGCAAAAGAATAAGAGACAGATGCTGCTAGAATCATCTGCCTTCCGGGAATGGCCCACTGCCTCTCTACCAACGGGGAGCATCTCGGCTCCTTCCCTTAGTTAGTGCTCTCGCTGTGGGATCAGCTTTTGTTTTTGTAATCCTCACCCGAGGGTATTTTTCCATTGATTTCTAGAGAGAGTGGAAGGGAGGGGGAGAGACAGAGAGGGAAACATCAATGTGAGAGAGACATATCAATTGGTTGCCTCCTGCACGTTCCCCAACCAGGGCCGGGGGTTGAGCCTGCAACCGAGGTACATGCCCTTGACCAGAATCGAACTTGGGACCCTTCCGTCTGCAGGCTGATGCTCTATCCACTGAGCCAAACCAGTTAGGGCTCACCTAGGAAGCTTTAAAAGAAAATGCCAGTCCCTGTACCTTACCTCCAGGGATTCAGACTTCAGCATCTGGGGCTGGGCCTGGCTGCCCCGAGATGCTAATAGATTGCCAGGTTGAGAGCTGCTGCTTTAAACTGAGCCTGACTGGAGATGCTTCTTGTTCAAAGCATTGCGGTTCCCCTGCAAATGCCCAAGTGAATTCGTGTCCTAAAGCTAAATACAGCTTGGGTTCAAGCTGGAGCCCTTGCACTCATACTGTGCAGTAGAGGTTATTGCAGAGAAAAACGGATGAAATAAATAGTACCATATATCATTTTTGAGAAACAAGACTATTTTAAAAATAAATGTAGCCAGATGAATGTAGTTTCCTCCCAATAGCCACTTTGGGGATTCAGACCAATCTTTTAAGGATGCTTCCAGTT